ATTTTGAACTATCTTTCAATTCATCAATAACGTTGATAGTTTGAAATAGTTTAATAATTTTCAGAAATATATAATTTTTCGGAAACATTCACTTTCTGGGGTCTTCGCAATGTTTTACGTCATTTGTTCTTGTAGTATTAGGCCATTCCAAGTTTTTTCTATGTTTAGCGTCTGCGTGCGCCTTGGTTTTTGACACCCCATACGAGTAAAAACGCACAACAACAGGAGTCCTGAAATTGATAAATTAAGTCGAAATTTTTGAATTTTGTAAATTTCTCCAAATAATTCTGTACAGTAAGTTATACTGGGTGTCTTGCAAGCATTTAATCCGTTGTTTTTGCTTAAGAATAGATATTTCTTCTATTAAAGCAGTTTAGTTAGATCAAATCATTTGAGAGACGTCATATTTATGACTTTTAAGCTTGCGTTTTATGTTTTGGCTTGTGTGTTTTTTACGAATAGGTAGGTAGGTTTTTGAAAGATGAGTGGACGCTAAACAGAGAAAAACTTGGAATGGCATAACGATAAAATACTTTTCATATTTTTTCGGAACGAATAATCATCACAGACGGAAGTTGACTCATCTTATGGATATGGACTGGACACCACTCCCCACTTTCCCAGCCCTTATGAATGTCATTTGTATCAATATTGATATACTATGACATTTTTAATGTATTATTTCATGGATAATTTGATTGAAATTCTTTTAAATCCTAACAATATTTTGTCTGATACATTCGTTTTAACAAAGATAATTTTTAAAAAGTAATTTAATATCTTATAAAATTAATGACTTCATTAGTTTCTGAAAAAGTCCTAATCGAGCTAAATATATCGATTGTATGCAGCGGAAGTTGAAAAGGATGTCTCTTGTCAAAAAATTATGCATGACTATGCTTGTTTTTATTTCTTAAATATACAGCGGATTCACATGTGTTAAAACTGCCTTCACTTGTCTGTGTAAAGAAAAATGTTAATTGCTATTCGGAACTGTTAATCTATATTCAGACACAAATAAATAGTTGATAACATCATGTTTCTTTTCAAAATTGCATAGAAATTGCCGAAAACACTGACAACTGTAGCAATACAAAATTTTTCAAAATAATATTATTTCATTATCTAAATTCGATCCTTATAGATTACAGTTGCCGGTAAAGGAATTTAGTAACGAGGGAGGGGGTTGTATTGAGGGCAGGGTGTCTGAAGCAGCGTTGAAGCCTCATGGGGGTTGAGAGCACAATCCTGGTAGGGTCCGGGGAACGAACATCTGCTATAATATGTGTCCCCCCTTTGATTTAGAAAACCAATCGTCACCTTGCAGGAATTTTAGAATACATTGCCATGGCGATAAAAAAATATTTCGGAATACCTCATACCATACGTGTAGATCTACTGATAAGTTTGTGTTTAATGCTGGTAACAAAAAAAATTAACTACATGCTTGTTTTACAAAATACAAGTAAATTTTTAAAAATCAAAAGGCGGATTGGGAGGGGGGGCGAGACGCAACGGCCCTGGATCCGCCTTTCAATTGCATGTTTAATTTAAACCTGTCTTGAAAACACTGATGTCAACATTCACCATGATAAATATATAATCTAAATCATATTTTAAGAAAGCTGCATAATAATTTTCAATAAAACGTTAAAAAAATCTCTTCTTGAACATAAAGTCAATATCACATACGTCCAGTATGAAGGAGGCGCTCGTTTTAATAAGAGGTACATGTATGAATGTAAACTTATGTCCTTTGACTGTTTTTCACTGTATATATTGATTGAAATTTTATCATATTATTATTTTATTAGGGAAGACTGAAGAATTTGGTTATTCAACATATGCCGGATCATTGTGACGTCATGTTTTTAATGTATTGCGTCATTGATTTCCATGCAATGTCCCTTGATAAATTTTACGAAAAAAAAGTTTAGGTGGTTTTCTTAACATTCAGATACAGATTTAAACAATAAATTTCTGTAAAAGTTTAGATTAGATGATAACACATTCAGATTCAGACTTCAACATTTAATTTCTTTAATAGTATATATTTTAATGAGGAGGAAAAGTCACATCTATCCAGAAGCGAAGTATTTTCACCTACAGTTTTTCTTAAAAACGGACGTGGCCGCACTTTTGTACAGTTATTTTTTCTCTTGCATATTAGTTACCACAGTATACTTGTTTCGCATATGTACTCGGATGCGGCCACATCGAAATATTAACTTGAAGAGGAACAAAACGTTAAAAATAGGTGATTTCCGGAATATTTGACCGGTTTTGAACGTTATATACACAAAAGGTCACGTGAGGTGAGGAAAATTGATACCAATTTTTCACGAAGGGGAACCTTAACAATAAATTGACACAGTTCAAAAAATGTTATCGTGCGTTTAATTTTTGCCGATTTTACAGGGCCGCATCGTTAAATACATACTGTACCCAGTTCTTGCTATTTTTACATGAAGGCTGCACATAGAGCAATTTTGTGCAGTGAAATGTCCTATGCGGTCCTAAATTATATATTAAATTAACTGGCGTGAATTCTATCATCATATTGGCAAATATATCAAAAAAATCATGAAAGTCATTGTAAAAAAGAAATCCCAATTAAAGCTTTAACAGAGCACTATTTTTTAATATCTAAAAATTAACATCACAAACACCCACTTTTTATTTCATTTTCTGAATCATTTAATTTCTCTGAAATACTTGATTATGATTGGTTAAAAAATTCTTTTGATACCTGCATCAATAAAATCTAGAGTTCGCTTGCACTAAGCAGCCGGAACTACTTGGCAGTCTCTACATGTATATTTCCCGCTTCCAGGTTACTCACTTCTTGAAGGAATAATTAAATACTTTTACTTTAATAAATATTTTCCTGAATTTCGAAATCTGTCCGTTATGTTCCTGACTTATTTTCTACTTTCGTTTCTTGTTGAATTATCGCCCTTTGCTAAACAAATCAAATCGTCTGCATAACAACAATACAGTTTTGGGAAAGAAGGATAGAAATCGACATAATTTTGTTAAATGTTTGGCTTTGAGATGTCTGGTATGAACAATAGAATTCTGAAGAAACGTTTTTTATGCTACCAAAGAGAGGAAAACCGTTAATCTGTTAAATCTTGGGAAACGAATGATCGAGAAAAACGACACTGCATGAATGAGGACAGATTCTTTTAATCTTACACAATCGGCAGCAGACTCTTTCATGTTTTACAGCATTGACAGGTTGTGATACGTATTTATAATATATTCAGATGAAAAGATGTGCAAATAGAAATCCAAATTTCTGTGACCTAACGTTAATGTTCGAACTGTTAGGATATTTGAGCAGCTTCCCTTTACATTTACGAACTTAGATAACTTACGGGGAAAATATACCGATTGGGATAACACAACAGGTAAGTTTTTCGTGTTAAAGAACTGTAAATTATTTCAGAGAATGTTGGTAATGCCACGACAATATTTGAGAACGTTTCCTCGTTTGAGCCATTTTGAATTTCAGCAACGTGAACGTTGTTGTGATGTATTTGTGCGCAGTTTTTGAGGCGTAAATTCAATAGAAAGGTGAAAGAAAGTTTCGTTTTATTTATTTAAAATCATAATTAAATGATAAGAAATGAATGTAATATTTTTTCCTTTGATCGATGTATCAAAGAAAAATTTGGACGGAAAACTTTTTCATCAATGCGCTACGCATGCATTCTGAATAAATGTATATGAGATAATTTTAACCATTCTCCTTAAATACGGGAAACATGTCATTACTTTCAAATGATTTTATTGCTTTATAGATTTTTAACTCAAGAAAATTTACATTTTCTGAGTGCAGAAAGGTCAAATGATATACTATGCCAAGTAGTTGAAACTAATTTTGTTGTCAAAATATTTAATATGACTATTTAAAATAAAAAGAAAAACTTATTTGGTCCAATTATTCATTTGGATGAAAAATATGAAAGGAAAAATTGAATTATGTGTTAAACATAATTACACTAAAGTTGGCGTTTGAAAAGATTAAGTCATCGCGTTTATCATAAAGCTTGTATCTTAATATGAAAAATATTTATCACACTCTGTGGTATCTTTTTATTTCAATCTCACCGATATATTTTGTTTCGACATAAGAATGGAAATAACCATGAAACAATTGCTAAAAAATAATGATTGGGGAAATTCGATAGATAGACAATTTTTATAGCTTTTATAGCTTTTGAATTTTTTTTGGGTATATTTTACCAGTGCAAATCATCATTTAAAATAATCCCAGAAAAAATTCAATTTTAGCGTCCTTCACTTAAACAAAAATCAAGAAAAGCCAGTGAAAATCTTTTTAAAACTTAGGTGTATAGGTTTATATAGTTTTTCTCAAGAATATGGTGATAACGAATATTCAATATCAAAGTCCATAAAACAATACAAAATAGGAGCAGAACAAACATAGACCTCTAAAAGATCAGAGGTGGGATCAGGTGCCAAGAAGGATTGAACATCCCCTGATAAACCTGCCGTGTGTTCATTGCCTTGATCGGGAAATAATGGGAAAATTCTTGAGTCATTCAGTCTATAAGTAATGGACTAACAATTAGTATGAAAAACTTGAGTTAAAATTGACATGAAATGCCATACATTGGTAACTAACAAATAAATGGATAATTTTTGCACATCTTGTTTAATTAATTTATACTTGGTTAGCAAAATAATGATCGCAAAATAAATTTTTGTATCGGGTTTAACTAACTACGGTGCACAGCTAACATACCTTTGAAATATTAGGGGGTTACTCAGTAAGTATTTCCCTGAAGATTGATATAACTCTTCGTTTACCTCGGTTATTCTTAATCCTTTCAAGCAATTTGAAGTTATGAATCTAAACGAATCCTCGGCTGTAATTTCAATTATCTTTCATGGGCGACCCATTTTCATTCACTTCATTATCATAACCAACAATTTTAATGTGTTCGCATTTTTATGAATTTCTGATCTACCTTCTCAACTGGTTTCCAAATTTTTTGTCCAATTTTTTTAATATCAAAACACGCACTGACATAAATACTCTAGATGTAAAATAAATACATACACACTACTCTTGCTTTAAAAATAATAGCAATAAACATAAATCATTTTAAAATATCAGATTAACTAATTCATTTATATTTCTACCAGTTGAACAATCCTTCAAAAAATAAAGGGCACGGTATTTTTATACCCCTGCTTGAAAAGTGGGGGGATATATAGTGATCAGGATGTTCGTCCGTCTGTACTTCCATCTGTGAGACTATCACGCTTTGAGGTACTCCTCTAATACCACAATGAAATCTAATGAGACCTTCACATAATCTTTTTATATAGTGCCATTTGTGTTTCTCATAGCAAAACATGAGAATACCATACTTTCTATAGTATTAAAAGGGTACTCATCTCTTATTCGCGACTTGTTTGTATGTTATGCAACTCTATCTCGAGAATTTTTCACTTAAATGGAAAAGCACCACTTGCATGTGTAGAGTTGCAATTATTTTTACTCGGCACTTACGGCCATTGAGTAGTGAGTTCAAAATAGAAGACCTGTAATTCTTTGAAATGTGGATAAAGTGGGAGTTTAGACAAACCTACCTTCAGCGAACTGTCAACCTGTTCAATGAAAGTTTTAATTCTCTGAAACCAGACTTATATTCATTTTGCGAAATGAATTAAAAAGCATCATCAACTCTATTTTTCAGGCCTCATTTAGTATGAAGGCGGATCCAAAGCTAATGACCCATTAGCCATAAAAATCTTAGATATTGTAGCATTCCATGAAAAAATGAGATACGGATCTCGTTTTTTTTCAATATTGCCTTTACATTCTTATGAAATAATCGTAATACCTTTCAGAAATACACAATGTTGGGTCTTGTCCATTGCCACAAGAGGAGAATTTATCAACCTTATTATGACGTATCTACTCGGCAGTAGTTATCAAGTTCATTTGCATCTAAAAAGAAGTAAATTTGAAAATAAATTATTAGACGAAATCAAAGTATTCTTAATCCATCGAATGTTATGAAAACGAACATAGAATTAGGTTTTAATTTTAAACGAGGTATTAAAATTCCTTTGAAATCTCCTTATCTGAAGTAGCCTTCCTAGATCTTAATTATTAACAGTACTGAAGGAAATTATAAGTTAATCTTTTTTCATTCAGAGGACGAAGAAGTTGTTCAAAAATCATTTATGTGAAAAGAAAGCACACTTAATTTAGACTTCATTTCAAAAGTTAGATATATCGACAATGTAGTGTCATTTAGCA